TTATGTGTTGGTCCTTTAAACAGCTCTTTACATCTCCAGCCTCCTGTCTCTGGCAGAGAGCAATCCTGCAGCTTTTCGCAGCTGGCTGTTATCTGTGTACTTTTTGGGCTCTGGTGCTGTAGGCTGGAGATCTCTGCTTATGGTTTAGACACCCCTCTTCTCAGGGGGAATCCAACTGGCCATTTCAATATCCTTCTGGTGCTGCCGCCCATGGGCACCACACCCGCCTTCTTGAGTCTCTACCACACTCCTTACCAGTTATGCTGTGCTAAAGCTGATTCTTCTGTCTGTCCGAGGTTATAAGGCTCCTCTCTTGCTATTGTTCAGTTATTTGTTCCAGGTGATTTCTCCACAATTTAGTTGTAATTCCAGGTTGGTTCCAGGAGTTCAGTGTGACTTCCACTCACTCCTCCACCATCTTGATTCTCTAACAGTAATCTCTTAAGGAAAGTATACTATGATAGTACTCTACTAATATTATCCCATATTTTGTTATTATTCTAAGGAACACTAAAATAATTGCATGAATACATCCTTAGAGGACACTCATAGATATACCCAGTAGGCTTCCTTCTTTTTCTTTCTGCCATAATTAATGTGACCTGGGAATATACATACTATATTTTTGATAAAGGAATGTAGAAAGTGCCACAAACTGCAGAATTATTGAGATGCCTAAAAAAGTAGTTTATTTGGCAATAAGTCATATTGTTGTTTCATTTGCCCCATACTCAACATTTCCCCCTGTAGTTATTTGCATAACTTCATAATGGTCTTTGCTCAGATAGCACCTCATTGGTCTTGTTTAACCTCCCTACTTAAAATGATTCCTTCAATTATATATTTTTAACATTTATTACCAGAAAATGATTATATATTTATTTATTTTTATATTCCCATTAAATATAAATTTGTTGATGAAGGGAAATTCTTTTTTTCCCCCTCCAATATCTAAGATAGTACTGGTTCAGGATAAGCCTGTAATAAATATTTGTTTAATGAATGAATGAATGAATGAATGAATGAATGAGTCATTATGTATCTTTATTATGTGTTCAATCTCCTTTCCCTGTTTCTTGCACCAGAAAGCAAAGTTCACAAAATAGTCACTGTGTTCATTCTGACCAGTAAATATACACCCTTAAACCAGTCTACATTCAATGGCATTGCTTGTTACCACAGAGAGATTATATATCTTTTGAGAGAAAAGTTTTAAAGTGATTCATACATGTATTATTCTTATATCACTAGCACAGTCTTGCATGTAATGGGTAGACAAAAATGTTTGCTGAATGAAAGGACATGATGAAACGTTGGTAAACCTCCTTTTAAGATTTTTCTAAAGGAGGCTATTTGAGACACTCTTTCCCATTTGTAGGCAATTTCACCATGCTGTATCTGATTTTGAAATTTAAGATTTTAATTGTAATAAACTTGACAAGAAATAGGAAATTATGCAGAGTGGACGTTTATTTTATATTATTTTGTTTTTATTTTGACAGGCCAGTTTTAATAATCTCTTCTAAAACCCCCTTATTATTCTTTATGAACTATCTCTTCTCTGCATTCAAATTCCTTGTAGGTCTGTACATGTGACTCTATTCACAGTTCCATGGAAGGTCACAATTTTCTTTCGGTAAAGATTCATTGTACATTGTGATAATCACTGATCTAGGAGCTCAAAATACATCAGTGAACAAGGCAATAAAAAAAATTCCCATTTTCCTGGAACTTTTATTCTAGCAAGGAGAAAAAACAATATATAATAAATTTAATAAATAAGCATTAAAATATATTTATACCATTATAAATACTTTAAACACTAAATTTGGTAGTAGGGTAACCTGGAAGTATAATAGCATGGTCATTGAAGCTTTCACCAAAAAGATGCATTTGAAGAAAAACTTCAGGGAATGCATTCTCATGTAAAGGAAACACAAGTTAAAACAAGTAATAAGGGATGCGTGCTTTATAAAAAAATTTTTTTTCCAAAGCATCAAGGAGGTGAGACTACCTGGAGAAGACAGAGGAGGGAAAAACAATAGAATAGAAGAGACTTGAAAGGAAATAGATCATTTCCCTAATTGAGTATTTAACTTTCTATGTGTTTCTGCTTTAACTCTTAATGAGTTCCGGTGACCTAACAGATGGATCTCACACTTCTCCCACATGGTTAGAGTGGGTGGCATGGAGGACGAGGGCAATTCCCAGCATGCAGTAGTTACTTAGTTCATATGGATAATGAGGACTTTTACAATTAGGTAATTTTGGTAATTATAGGATGGTATTGGAATGAGCAGTGGGCTAGGGTAAGTAGCTTTAAGAGAGAAATTTTCACACGAAATGCCCCTCCTGCTGCTCCAGGTCTCCAGTACTCAGCAGGGAAAGGTGATTAATTTGAATTGTTTATTTTATGACCTCAAGAGCAGGAGGCAATAGAGAGTCTCTAGGGTCCATATCCCAAAAGCTGTGATTATAGATATAAGAATATATGCATCACTCCTAATCAGGAGAAGTCCTACCTTTGCCAACAGCAGGCTTGTTTTAATATTCTAAAGACAGATTGATGTTAATTCCACTGCATGTTATCTAGAAACCAATGTGAAGGGGGGAAACCTTACGCTTTAGATTTATGCAGTTCCTGAGAAATACTTAGTCATTGCAAAGTCTCATATCTGAATGCGCCAGGAAGAGGACCGCCATTGGCCTACAGAGCTCTGCATTAGAGGGCCTGGCTCAGCTGAGGTCCCCAACAACAGCCCCACGAACAGCAGGTGCCTGGCGTGGGTGAAATAAGCTCTTACAGAATTTTGGGAATGTGCACTGTCTTGCTTCTATAAATTCCTGGAAGCGTAGTAAAGGTAGATACACAAGTATTTAAATAAAATGAAATAAGCAGAGCATAAATAGACTCTTCAGTGAAAAAAATTAAAAGGGGCCAGCTTTAATTGGCCTCTGAGAGCAAAAGTTATAACAAAATGGGAGAAAATTATATAAGATGATTTCAGCTGTTATAATATTTCCTGGACTCAAATATATAGAATTTTTTTTTTACCAGCAATTTAACAATAGCATTTGGAACACAAGAGCCATTACATTAATTATAACATTAATTCTTAAGTGCCTTAGATAAATTAAACATTGTATTAAGGAAAAAGTGTGATAATTAATTAGAATGTCTGGCTTTGTGATGGATTGTCTTTTGAGGTTGTCTTTAATATTCAAATTTATGAGAATAGGAACAGATAAAGATGTCACATATGATCTGACATCTTTATTGATGGGCCGATAACATTCCTAGGAATAATTGAGAGAGGGTTTCCTGATATCACAGGACCTTAGAGGTGTTAGGCAGCAATAGAGAAATACAGGGCCAGGCAAAAGTAGGTTTACAGTTGTGAGTCATGAAACACAAAGTTTTTTTTTGTATTATTATTTATTAATTATTGTATTATTTTCCATAAAAACACCTGTAAACCTTTCGTCTCTCCCTGAATAATTCTTTTGTATTACTATTTTCTCATGAAATATCTTCCTAGTGCAATCCTACCTCAAGGTTGGAATCCTTCTTCTTTATAGGTGATATAGGGACAGAATAAATATTTTATAGGTTTTGAAGGGAGTGGAGGGGGATGGGATGGGGGAAAGAGAAAGAGGGGGGGAGAGAGAGAGAAGGAGAAAGAGATACACATGGGAAAGAGGAGTTTCTAAGTCAGAGTCTTCTTTACTATATAGTTAGCTAGTTATTCCTGGGAGAAAAAAAGTCTCCCTAAATTTCATTCTCAGTTCACATTGATGGTGTCTTATGGTACAGCTCTGTTATATGTACACTGTCTCTGGGCTATTGCTCATACACTTAGACTCTCTGGTTTGTCATAAAAGTATGGCTATTAATATAGGAAGTACCTTAGTATCTAGACCTTGAACATGGATCAGAGTCTTGCATAAAAAAATGGACACATTTCTGGGAGTTTGACAATTAGGGTTTTAGGTGCACATGTGTAAATTGGTCCTTATTTTTATGTCATTGGGAAAGTCAGGCTTCCTCCAGCTTCTGTTCTGTCACCTCTAGAATAAGGAAGAGGACCAGATTACCTTTATTGTCTGTCCTAATTTTATCATTTTCAAGCAGTAAGAAAATATTGACAATTAGGACTCCCTGAATTGAGGAGAGTACTCTCTGAAGAAACTGATTAGGATTTATTTAATATCAGATTTACTGGATCAAAAAGAAAAATATTAAGGTGTAATATGGAATTAACAATAAAGGCACACATTTAAATTGTTACGGGTGTTCATTCTTAATGTCACAGTGTGAATGTGTGGGACACATTAATTTTAGAAATTTCTCACTTTCATCACTGATTGTAAGGCTGACAAGATCAGTCACTGTATTATGTTAGGCTTATATTTTATGAAATTATAGTGTTCAAGGAGAGATGGATGTGTTATGGGTGGATTTGATTTAAAATACCATAAATACCTTGATCTCATATTATTCTTAAATATCAAACATTACAATTGAGAACTTAAAAAATTAATTCAGTAATTGCATTTCCTTACTTAAAGAAAAAAATTTTTTAAAATTTTATTCTTATTGTTTATGTTGTTGCAGTTCCCACTTTTTCTCCCCTTCCCCGCCTCCACCCAGCCCTTCCCCAAGCCAATCCTCATATTGTTGTCCATGTCCATGGGTTGTGCATAAGTGTTCTTTGGTTAATTCCTTCACTATCTTTCATTTTGTACCCCCTCCTCCTCCTCTCCAGCAGTTGTCAGTCTGTTTTATGTATCTGAGCTTCTGTTACTATTTAAAAATGATTATCCTGTTCAAAAATATTATATGTTCAGTGTATCTTGCATAATAAAGCAGAGAAAAATTTGGAAAGATATTTCGCTATATCGACCAGTTCGGTAAGGGATATTAACCCAGCTTTTCTTGCCCTCACTTGCCTTAATGTTTTTCTTCTTAGGACTCACTCAGATTCTGACAAACAGACACCATGATACTGTCAGGCAGAAATAAAAGTGGGACCACGTTCACTCTCCTGGGCTTCTCAGATTACCCGGAATTTAAGGACCCCCTCTTGATTTTTCTGGCCATCTACACTGTCACCATTGTGGGAAATATTGGAATGATTGTTATCATCAAAATTTATCCCAAACTGCATACCCCCATGTACTTTTTCCTCAGCTACCTCTCGTTTGTGGATTTCTGCTACTCCTCCATTGTTACTCCCAAGACCCTGGTGAACCTAGTTGTCGAAGACAGAACCATTTCTTTTCTCAAATGCGTAGTACAATTCTTTTTCTTTTGTACCTTTGTGGTAACTGAATCCTTTTTATTGGCAGTAACGGCCTATGACCGCTTCGTGGCCATTTGCAATCCTCTGCAGCACACAGTTGCCATGTCCCAGACACTCTGTACCCTGCTTGTGGTCGGTCCATGTGCATGGGGAGCAACGTGTTCCTTGATACTCACATGCTCTGCTACTAAGCTATCATGTTAGGGTTTCAACACCATCAACCACTTCTGTGAGTTCTCCTCATTGCTCTCCCTTTCTTGCTCTGATACTTATGTCAACCAGTTGCTGCTTTTCATTTTGCCACCTTTAATGCAGTCAGCATGCTCCTCATTATTCTCACATCCTACGTATTTATTCTTGTCACCATCCTCAAGATGCATTCAGCTAGTGGTCGCCGCAAAGCCTTCTCTATCTGTGTCTCAGACCTGACAGCCATCACCATCTTCCATGGCACCATCCTCTTCCTCTACTGTGTGCCCAACTCCCAAAACTCCAGGCACACAGTCAAAGGGGTGTCAGTGTTTTACACAGTGGTCATCCCCATGTTTGACCCCCTGATCTACAGTCTGAGAAATAAAGAGGTCAATGATACAGTCAGCAAGCTAATGGACACTAAAGTCTTTTCTTGTTGAGTATATTATTTTAGTAGGATTTGTCCATCACATGCAAATGAAATATATCCCTATAGGTTCATTTTAAAGATTTTTTAAAAAAGATGAAGACCTAGTGTTGTACAATGGAAAGGCCATAGATTTTGATTCAAAGAGACTAAACCTGACTCTGGCTCTTACTGAAGAACAATCAGCAATTTCTCTTACTTTAATTTTTCATTTATAATTTTGAGACAACATAAGCTAGCTCCTAATCTGATTGTATAGATTAAAAGATAATATAGATATCATGTGGAATGCCTTATATAATCTTAATAAACATTAATTTTCATCCTCTTTTCTTGTAACATACCTGGAGCAGACTAGGCTTTCAGTAAACACATGAATTTCTCTTATAAAAGTATTAAAAATATTATATCCCACCCATTTCTGATATTTGGAAGAACTCTGGTATAATTTTAGAGGCTATGCCCTTGAGAAAGGAGCTTTTGAATACAAGGCAAGCAAAGTCCATAAGGTCTGTTTACAGATTTCATAATGTCTGTGTGATCTCTGGTTCACAGAAGCAATGCTTGCATGAAGCCCACAATGCTCTGAAGTTCTTCATGGACTCCGAAGGAATCATGTTAAATTCCAGTCATATGCACCAAGTTGGAAAAGATTTTCCCCCTGTTTATATCCCATAGAAGTCATTAATTATTTGAGTCCCAAAATGATGGTGTTTTCTTGATATCTTGGTGTCCCACAGAGATCAATGATTGTTTAGGGAAGCCTAAGAAACAGGGGCCCCAGGGACACACACTCACACACACACACACACACACACACACACACACACACACACACACACAGAGCCATAAAGCCTACAGCATTTTCCATCATAATATGTCCAGAAACAGGTAGGCGATGTTTATCCCACAGGCTGGTTGGTTGGACTACACTGGTTCTTTTTTGGTGGGGAGTGGACATGCATGATATTTTCTGGGATCTGTAAGCTTATTCTTTTTATTTATTCTTCTCCTTGAGGTAGTTTATTATAGTCATGTGTAAGAGAAGAAAGAATTGCAAAGGAAGGCAGCAGTTTTAGACATATTTTTGCAAGTATGTATTTAGCCTTCTCTTAATTAGGGAGTATATCAAGAAATGTCATGTTTTGAACACTCCTTTGTGAAAATATTTTCCCTTTGTGTATTGAGAAACAATCTCAGTGAGAAATGGGAACAATCTAATTTGTGGAACCAAAGACCTTGTAAACAGCTTTTAGTGTGAAAGGGAAGAGCATAAACAAACTGGAGAGAATGCTTGATTTTTCTCTCCTTCCCTCTTCCCACTCTCTCTTACTAACTCCATCCAGGAAACCTGTGTGGAGGTCCCCTGATGGTCACCCTGAGGCCAAGTGGCTGTAAGGGGCCCTCAGGACTGTTCATGGAGGCACATGGACTTCTGTGGCACCTCTGCAGCAGAAAGGAGAGGAATTATTTTGGCCGTGTGCATTGTCTCTCCATAGCAGCTTTCTCAACCTCGATATTTTTGACATTTTGGGCCAGATAGCATTTGGATGTTTTCATGTACATGATCCTGGTATGTATATGTATGTGTGGAGAGGAGCCTGTTGTTTGCATTGTGGAGTGTTTAGTTGCATCCTTAGTCTCTACCTGCTAGATGTTAGCCAATCCCTCCTTATTGTGACAACAAATATATCTCAAGACACTGACAAATGTCCATAGGAATACAAATCACTCCTGGTTAAGAACCACTGCTTTGTAATTAATCACAGCCCGATTTTTCATCTTTATATTTGGAAACAGAAAAAGGTTTTTCAAAATTATGAGTAGTTTCAAAACTACTTTGAACTCAGAAAAAGACAGCTCACTTTTACTGGCCACTGAAGAAAGAAAACCATAGCATTAGAATAATTGTTTTTAAATTGGGATTTATTAATGCACATATACTTCCCCCCTTTGATACCATTTGGAGAATGAGAACAATACCTGGCTGTGTTGGGTTTTAGCTCAGTTTCTCTTTCTGCCAAGAATTATGAGCTGGTGCCTCTTAAAGTCATGTATGTGTCTCCCAAAGGTCAGGAGGGAAAGAAATGAGGCTGTTCTTATCATCTGCTGGCATTTTCTATGTCAAAGATCTTGAATGGATCTGTCTCTTATTTAAAAAATCACACCCTTCTTCCTTTGAACCTCATAACTCTTACATTTTGTGAGAATTCAAGCAAGCTTCTATATTGCTTGTTTAAAAAAATGATTGGAATAAAAATACTTTGTTTTATGTGTGTTGTGAGGATTAGATATACAATTCAAATTTTTATATATGTATATATTTTTATATAACATATCTTACCTATGCACTCTGGCTTACTATTTTTTAACTTGTCATTTTAGCATGGTCATTTTTCAAGTCATGAAAGTTATTCAAAAATGTAATTTTAATAGCTGTGTAGTTTCCCATAATATATATAACATACTCTCAACATTTTCCTCCTGCTTGACACTTTAAGTTTTACTATCTTAATACTGCAATGTGGCAGCAAACATCTCTGTTAATAATTCATATTCACATCTTTGATTATTTCTTCAAATAGATTTAAAGCGGAGAATTCATTTGTCAAATAGGTCATTAGAAGGCTTCGGAGTCACACTTACAGGAAGTTTGACTCCAAGAATACCAATTCACTAAAATTTAATGGCTGACATGAAATATCTAATTAATAAAATTGCTTTGCTGACTAGAGAAAAAAGGGCACAAAAGCTACATTTGCCATCTAAAATACATTAATATGACCAGCACCATTGAAAGAAAGAAGAAACGGACAGGAACAGGAGGGAGGGAAGGAGGGATGTATTGGGGAAGGGAAGAGGAAGGGTCAGATCAAGGAACAGGTGTGAAGGACACTTGGACATTGACAAAGCCAAGGTGGGGAAGGATTGAGGGGGGGATGTGGGTTTGGATGGGGCAGGAGAGGGTGGTGGTGGGTAAATGAAGACAAATGTATTGGAACAATAAAAAAATTAAAAAAATATGAGGATAAATACTCAGGAAATAAAAAACCAAAAAAAATCTACACAAGGAAAAAATAAATAAACAATAAAAAATAAACACTTGTGGTTTAGTAGTCTTTAATAAACATACTTCCTATCATTTAGGTGGAAAACAATATAATAATTAAAAAAATTATTTCCTGAGATTTCAAATTTTCTAGTACTGACTAAAAAGTCACCAAGAAAAAAGGGATTTGAATTTCATAAAATGATACTGCTCATCAAATAATATTTAATGTCTTCCTAAAGATTCACTTCTGGACACTAAATTGTATAGAACTAGTTTAAGGAATTATATTGACTCTTACAGATGTGAATGCTTTTGGGTGATCTGTGAATTAAACTGTGAGCTCTATGCATTTGTATGCTGCAATATTGGGATCGTTTCTGAATGTCACAAGAGCAATGTCCTATTTGCTGAAAAAATTATCCATCCTAATTATTTTCATGTCTTTTTAGGAGACAGTCAAAATAAATTTGGGATCATATAATGGAGAATAACTTTTAATGTTTTTCACCAAACTCAATAAAGTGAGAACATGAACAAAGAAAACTGTACCACCGTGACAGAGTTTAGTCTTGTTGGATTATCAGATGTCCCTGAGCTGAGGGTCCTTCTTTTCATGGTGTTCCTCCTGATCTATGGAGTGACGGTTTTGGGCAACCTGAGTATGATCGCACTGATTCAGGTCAGCTCTCGGCTTCACACTCCCATGTACTTTTTCCTCAGCCACCTGTCCTTTGTGGATTTCTGTTACTCAACAGTCATCGTGCCAAAGCTGCTAGCTAATATCTTAAACAAAGACAAAGCCATCTCTTTCCTGGGATGTGCGGTGCAATTCTACTTGTTTTGCATGTGTGTGGTAACTGAGGTCTTCCTGCTGGCCGTGATGGCCTATGACCGCTTTGTGGCCATTTGCAGCCCACTGCTGTACATGGTCACCATGTCCCAGAACCTGCGAGTGGTGCTGGTCTCTACCTGCTACCTCTCTGGGTCTGTGTGTTCTCTGATTCACTTGTGTTTAGCTCTTGAGATTTCATCCTACAGATCAAATGTGATTAACCACTTCTTTTGTGATCTGCCCCCTCTCTTATCCCTTGCTTGTTCCGATGTCACCGTGAATGAGCTGTTGGCATACACTGTGGCATCTTTCATTGAGATCATCACCATTGTGATCATCCTCACCTCCTACTTGTTTATTTTCATTACCATCCTGAGGATGCGCTCTGCAGAGGGAAGGCGCAAAGCCTTTTCCACCTGTGCCTCCCACCTCACAGCCATCATTGTCTTCCATGGGACAATCCTATTTGCCTACTGCTGGCCCAGTGCTGACAACAATGAGGATGCTGACAAGGTGGCTGCAGTGTTCTACACTGCAGTGATTCCCATGCTGAACCCCCTGATCTATAGCTTAAGGAACAAGGATGTGAAAGAGAGTCTCAGAAGAGTAGTGAGCTCCAAAATATTTTCCTAGAGAATATTTCAAAGTGGAAGATGGTGGAGGGCTGAATCGGTGGGCTGCAGTGATGGAGTGGATTGAACCAAGGAGTAGGTCGTGAGTGAGTTGTTTGATTCACTGATCTTTATACTTGCTTTTGATTACTTTCCCATCAGCCTAAATACATTATTAATTGGTATGGCAGCTTGACCTAGAGTGTTTCTTAAGTATTTTCATCAGGATGCTCTTGGGCAGTTTTCATAAAATAACTGAATAGGTTTGTTGTAAGAGTTGAGAGCTAATTGCTGTTTTGGGGATGGAATGTTGTTTTAAATTAACTGCCAATATTAATGACAATCTATACAAAGAAAAAATAAACCTAGATTATTGTGTATATTACAAAGGATTCATTCCTTTTCCAGTGCAGTAATATTTATTGAAAGATGGCCTCTTAGGCACATTATCATTTTTTTCATTTCTGTAACATTATATTTATTGTTTAAAAATTCTATCCTTAGTTTTGCTAGGATTACTTATATTTTCTTTCTTTGACCTGCACTCTTTGTATTGGGAGAAAAGTACAAGTTGTTCTGAAACTTATTGAATGGTAAGGTTTTAGTAGCTTTTGTGAGGGTAAAATGAAAACTGGACAAAATCTTGTACTGTTTTATGAAATAATTTGGTATAGCCTATGATTTTAAAGTTAGACTGATAAATTAAAATAAAGCACCCCATATTTGCATATGTAATTGTAACCAAAATGTTTTATATGTTTACAAATTGACTACTTTCCTTTGTAGATTACCACTAATATAATTTTTAACTTACCTGGAACAATTGTGGAAAAATAACAAAAATGTTATATTGCTCCTGATTGGAACCAATGAACAATTTGTGTTGAAAATGACAGTTTTGTGTTTTTTTCTCTACCTTGGTGTAAGATGATTACATTATTGTGAAGTTCGAGATATAAACTTTAATTTTTATTCTGAGGAAATGAAAATGCATAGTTTAAGTGCTGTGACCAGTGCATTAAAATGTGTGGGTGATAAAATAAAGATAATGAATTGAGATTTCAAACACAAAGACACCATACTTTTGAATGACTACTGATGTAACCTTTCATGTTATTCCATTCTGTCACTTTAGACTTTACATCGTGTCTCGCATCTCCTGTAGCGGCCACGCCAGTGTTACTTATCTTTTCTACTCACTGCCTCTTCAGTGAATTGACTTTGAAATCATTATATTGGTTAGAATTTTAATTGACATGTAATATAAATCATCCTAAATTTTACTTGAAAAAGAAAAAGCTATTGTATTCAGTGTACACCATAGTTCTTCGGTGCATCGTGACTCGTTTGAAAGTCACAGATCCCCAGATTTCACACGCTTTCTTGTGTCCTTGAGTCATATTTAATTCTAGTCACTCTACAGAACTGTATTTAAATGACTTGTACTTATTCTTATTTTTATCGTCCTTGCTGTGGCAAGGACTTGCAGTCCTGTGTTGACTAGAAGTGGCTACAGTGGACGCTTGTCTGAAAATGCTTGGAGTCTCCATCACAGAATGCTGTTAGCCACAGGCTGGTGGCATATGGCCTTTAATGTGTTGAGGTCCATTTCATAGTTTACCATCGGTGTGGGACAGTGGTAGGATGATCTGGCTGTGGAAACACTTAGAAATGATTTTGAGTAACCGGTTTTCTTTCCTATAGAGCTTGAATTATAACAGGACATGATCGGCATTCATTGTGTACTCTTCCTATCAGATTACTATATTTGAGGATATATTTATTGGCGGTAGACAGCCTGATAGGTGCATGTATTACAAATTTTCATGAGCCCTTTTAATCAATGTTCATTTTAACAATTTAATAAATATGTTGTGTCTATTTTTTGTTCAGGACACATTCAGTAATCATTTTTCTTTTAGAAAGTAATTCTTATACAGTCACTAGAGAGATTTTCTTTCTCAGGCTCATAGATGTTTTACATTTCATTTATTTATATACTTATTTAGAGGGAGTAAGATAGGGAGAAAGAGAGGGAGAGAAATATTGAGGTGGGAGAGAAACATTGATTGGTTGCCTATCTCACGCCCCACACCTGGGACCTGGCCTGCAACCCAGACACGGGCCCGGGGAGCAGGGGAATTGAACAAGTGATCATTTGGTTTCCAAGCCAGCACTCAAACCAGACACACCTGTCAGGGCTGATTCATATAATTTTCAAAAAGTCTTTAATCTTACTCATTAAATAACTTAAAAAGCACATCTCATTTACACTTAGTTGAATCTTGTTTAAAACCACATAATTAGACTTTTGGCGGAAGTGTAGGATATGTCTAACTAGAAAGAGATTTGTCTCTGATATTACAGCACAAAAAGTTAGATGTTCTTGAGATTAACACTTTTCTGGAACCTATCAGATAGCTGAGGTCTCCGGGTAACCAGCTCACACAGGCATGGACTTCTCAGTAACAGAATTCCATTGCTAGGGGAAGGGACCGAATCTGGAGAGAGGTCCATATACAAAGAAAAGAACTAAAGTTTAGAAAACATTAGGTATTGAGGACCTCTGGTGAAACCTCTCCTAGCATTAAATAAGATGACAATAGATGAATTTGAAGTTTGTGGAACTCTGGAAATAATATTGTCAATAAAACTGAAACCTAGTTTCAAGCACTACCCTTAATCCTAAGGAAAAGAGAGAAATCAGTATCAGGCCAAATGCCATTTACTTGAATCTGAGTTGACTTTCAAATAACACGCATTTTTAGACAATTGGATATAATACAAGTAAGTGGGAGAAAATGACCGCTTATAGGGAAACAAAGCCATTAAGAGACTCAGGTTTGGATAATGACTTAGATTTTAGAAATGTCAGATAGGCTACCTGAAAGAACTATAAATCTATGGGTATAAACGGAAAAGATATCAACATGTGTGAGTAGATGGGAAATTTCCAGTCATGGAAACCAATTTTGAAAAACTAAATTTTCTAGAAATAATAATGAACAAATAGAGATAAAATATGTCATTATAGGCATAGGAAGTAGTCTCAACATACTCAAGGAAAAGCAATAGTGAACATACAGACAGATGAAATGGAAAATACGACGCAAAATGACAGTAAAAAAACTGAAGAAACAAGGGAAAGTATTTAAGCTGTACGATAATGTCAAATAATCAAAAAAACTATACTTCAAAACTCAGAAATAAGTTAGAATGAGGTCTGGGTAGAGGACATCTGTGTAGAGATAGTGGCTAAGAATTTTCTAAAATTAACAAAGGACATCAAGTCCCTGGTCCAAGAACCTGAGATAAAACCAAAGAGAAGGAGCGCACACAGAAAACGCAGTGGGAAAAAGGTGAAACTGTAAGGACTGAATGTCTTAGCACTGAATAACGTCCTCGTGGAGTGCTCTCAGTTGCATTGCGGGGTGATGAGCAGCGCCGTGGCCTCTTCACACTGGATGCCAGCAGCACCCCCTTCTAGTCATGTCGACCAGAAATGATCCACAGTTAATTGTCAAATGTCCCTGTATCTATGTGTGTTGGGGTGGGTACAATACCACGTCCACTTTTGAACAGCCTCTCTAAAGAAAGAAGGATAAACGTTAGAACAGTTTTCTTGCCTGAAACTGAAAATAAGAAAAAAAGAGATTGAAAAATAGAAGCGGTAGAGAGGTAAAACAATAACAGAGCTCTCACCACAGAAGGGTATACTTAATAAAATATCTTTCAAAAATAAATGATAAAACTATTTTCAAATTTTTAATAACCAGGGTAATTTACTTTCAGCATACATGTACTAACAGAAATATTAAGGTATGTTATCTTAGGAGAGGGAAAATCATTGAGATTCACTCATTCAGGAAAAAAAACCTGGCAGTCGCATGTTAAATGTAAATTTGAAAGGCATTTTTCTTATTTTAATTGTTCTAAAAATATCCTTTCAAAAAGGTCCTAGTTGAGGGTGGAATAATATAATTAAAGTGCTGAAAAAATGAAAACAAGGGTAAAAAAATTAGCATTCTATAAAAGTATAATGTAGTAAGATAATAGAATAAAGAATAAGACAGTACCTAGGAGTCTGCTGTTTCATGATCCATATAAAACCCATGATTTGTTAAATAAACTTACTGTTAACTCCTAAAAACCATAATAATTTTATAAAGAGGAAAAAATAATGTCAATAAAGATTTAAATTATCTCTCTTCAAGGGATGACCAGAAAATGGTATGTAACAAAAAGTGGGCAAAACAAAGAGAAATAATGTATTAAGGTAAGATATTTAATTCAGTCATATCAATAATAACATTAACTATACATAATCTAGACAACACTTAAAAGATAGAGGATGTTATACTGCACGTAAAGGAAAACACAATTTTGTGCTATCTAAAGAAACTCAATTATGAAGACACATTTAATATAAAAGGATAGAAAATATCTTGTGTGGATGTATTAAATAAAACAAAGTTTAGAAGAAGAAATACTACAAAGGGTAAAGAGGCTATTGCATAACGGGAAGGAATCATCAATTCGCCGTTGTACATAACAGTCTTAATAGTGTTGGTCGAATGATTGTATGTGATTAAGATATAAAGACTCCCTTAGTTGATCAATAGATTCAATAAAATTCCATTAAAAGTCTCACAGAATTTTTTAAATTGACAATCTGATGGTAAAATGTACACTATAAAGAATTAGAAAACTTGGAAGTCAAACCATTGCAAGTAAGGAACGCTCTGTACTTAAAAACTGAAAATTACAAATATTGTACGTGGTACTAGTGGTATAAGGTAGGCATATATATCAGTGAATAGAATTGACGGTCCAGGAAAAAAGCCTCCAATCATGTGTGTGGCTGATTGGTTTTGAAAACCTGTCAGGCAGTTCCTGGGGAAAAAAGTCCTTTCAGTTAATGGGGATGAGTGATAGGAGAATCACATGCAAAAATGATGAATTTCAACTTCTGCCTTGCATCATACACAGATACTAACTCAAAACGGACCATTGGCCTAAAATTGAAGAATAAAAAGTTTAAGTTAT